TTATTTAATCGTGATCATATGCAATATGAAACAGATCGAATTATAAGTGAAAGTGATGAACCAAGTCTATCCGAAATGACTATATTTGCTGTTGAACATTTTTTAAAATCAAATCAAAATTTTTTTCTTTTTGTTGAAAGCGGAAAAATTGATCATGGACATCATGAAACACGACCAAGATATGCATTAGATGAATTTGTTGAATTCGATGATACTATTGGAAAAGTTAAACAATTATTAAAAGAAAAAAATATTCTTGATGATACACTTCTTGTTGTTACTGCCGATCATTCACATGTATTTACATTTGGTGCTTATGGATCACGTGGTTTAAATATTTTAGGTTTTAGTACATTAGAACGATTGAATGTTAGTGATATTGATAAATTACCTATTAATATAATTGCTTATGGAAATGGACCGAATTTTCATGCAGCAAGAAATGCAACTTATCTTTATTCACTTGATACAAATTCAACGAATTATTTAGCACCAACAGCTTTACCAATGAAAGCTGAAACACATGCTGGTGAAGATGTAGCTGTATATGCTCAGGGACCATGGAGTCATTTATTTATTGGAACTATGGAACAACATACAATTGCACATAAAATGGCATATGCGGCATGTTGGGGTGATTATATAAAGAGAGATGGATGTAAATCAAAAGCTAATATAAAATCAATATCGAACGTTATATATATTCAAATTGTTCATTTATATTTACTGAAATTTTTATTCTAATATTTTCTTATTTCTCATTTTTTTTGGTTCTTGCAACTAAATAATTAATTGCAAATTTTTGTCCTCATATTATAAACCTTTATCTCCTATAAAATATTCTTACTAAAAAACAAAATTACTATTTTTTTTCAATGTATTTCGATAGAATAGTTGTCATTAAAATAAAAATATTGAGAACCTTCCATTAAACTTCTACACACACGTCATAAATAGGTATAATTCCATTAACGATTGGCATTGAGAATTCAGTATTTTGTGAAACACGATCTAAAATGAGTGCTGAAGTATAGAATTTAGCATAGTACAAATATGTTCCTTTAAAAATATTTAAATGATAAATAACAATATGAATATCAATATTAACTGATGCAAAATTTCATTTCAATATTAAATATGATATAATCCTTTAATAAATTTATCTAGATAATATAATTCTATGTAATGTATCAAATTTTGAGGAATATATTCGAAAGAAATTAGTAAATAAATTATAATCAATTGAATTTTTTTTTGAAACTCAAATTTTGATTCTTCACTATCAAATAATTGAATATGTTTATTATTTAATAATTAAAGATTGAATTGTATCTTTTTTCAAATAATATTTCCCACGATTTCACATTTATTATTGTTGTTTAACGCATAAAAGTTAATAGTTTTCAATAATTTTTATTATTCGATGAAAGAAGAAGTGACATTGAATAAAACGAATATTAACAAACTTCTGATGGAAAATCCATTCAATAAGGTAAGAAAAAATAGCTGAATGATAATAATCTGTCTTATCAATTGAGATAATTGAAACATAAAGTTTTTTAATATTCATTAGAAACTGAAAACTAAATAATCGCAAATATTCTGATAATATTATATGAGTCGATGTAAATGATAGATCAAATTGATTGAATAAACAGATAAAATAAATTTTCTTCTGTTTCTAATCCAATATCAAGTCGTTTTAAAGATGTTGATAAAAATTTTTTATATTTATTTTCTTGATTAAATTCATTAATACCTATATTTTATATATTCGGTTTTAATCGTTTGAATAAATCTTATTGTAAATCAATTTCATGATCAATAATTTTATTTTGATACAAATTTTTTATTTGAATAAAATTTGTTTTTCTTCAAGAAAATTATTTTCTATTTGATAATTATCAATTATTAATAAATACATATGATAATTTATATCAGAAAAATATATTTTTCGAAATTTCTATATAATTCGTTTGTTTATTAATATTGACGACAGATCAATATGATTAAAATACATGTTCATAGAAGAATATTAAATCATTTATTTAATTACAAAAGTTATTTCAATAATTCAAATTTTGTTCCATAAAAAAAAAATTAAGAGTTCATTAGATAAATCTTTCAACGAGAATATTGCCATATTTATTTATTGATTTTATTGTGTTCAGTTATCGAAATTAATAGAATACGAAATAGATGAATAGTTGTCGTTACTAATATTATTACTTAAATGATAATAAATGCCGACGCACGTGTGTGAAGAAAAGAAATTGACAAAAATTGTTTTTGGAAAAAGCTTGCTGAACGCATAGTAATACAACAAATATGATGTTATACCGTGAATTTGCTTGAGTTATCTTCAAAGGATCCATTTTAAGAACAGAATTTTTTAGTTGAACCAGGGCCAAGGGAATTTCAGCGTTTCACTGTTTTTTTCGCTCACCAATACCTAGAAAAACGTATGACTCTGTGGCAAAATCCGGTCAACTTTATCAAAAATTTTCCAATTGACCTCCTCATGCTGGTAACATAGAGGCACTTCTGAATTGAACGTAAAAAAAAATATAATTATTTCGAATAGAAAAATAGTAATTTCACTGATGCATCTTTATAATTTATACTTATTTCTATTGATTGTTACTTATCATTCGGTTATTGACAAGAATAATTCTATTTTAGCATACAGGAGAGAGCATCTGTTACAGACATGTATAAAATGGGTTCGAATCTTACTAAAAGAATACACTCTTCGTTGGCTATTGAATTTTCGATTATTAGGTCACTTTGCGATGAGTTTTCTTCTCATCTTACTTTCTACAAGTTATAATTATTCTGTTAATGTTGAAGAATACAGCACGAGCATTTATATCGCTTTGGATTTAATTTAAAAATAATCTTCCGAGCTAACAGCTTGTGCTAGAATAATATTGAGATTTCGCTATCGACATTCAATGTCAAATGTCTATGTCGTTAGTAAATCTCATACAAATTAATCATTCAATTTTTTTTTTGAATGAAACGCTATGTAAGAAATACATGATCAATATATCTGATTTACTTCAATAGTTGAAATTTAATGATCGAACATGACATAATTATTATTTTGTCTTTTTTGAAAACTGAAGACTAATCCTATCAAAAAATATTAAGCAAATATTTTTATCGTTCTTAAGAACTATACATAAAAGGCGTCCAAGATAAGGAAAGAAGAAGAAAACAAGAGGAGTCAAATGCATATGGACGTCCAAGTGCTTGTTATCAATTTTTTCGCTGTTTCTCACGAATGCTTAAGAAGTTTCGACAGCATCTATTTTGTTTTGTTCTTCCATTATTATAATCTTCGATTTTATTGTATTAATAAAACCTCATCATCAACATCCATTCGTCATCACAATATCAATACACGATAGGTGTGTTATATCTTTTTTTTTAAGTAAGATTTCTCATTTCTTTAACAGATCGAGGTTAGATTTAATTGTCTTTCGGGCCGAACTTTAGTGTGAGCAAGAGTATTTGTCAATTAGATTGAACGAGAACCTCATAGTTGTTTTTTTGTGTTTTATATGTATTCAAAACGAAGGATTCAATACTAGGACTCCGTAAGACACTTTCACAAAAGTTTTCAGATCGAGTAGGATACTAAACAATCCGATAGGTTACTTTTAACTGTATTTAGACTGTCCAAGGGTATCGAAATCAAGTGGAAAGAATTCTACCAAAAGTTGTCAAAGTTTGATTGGAGTTGTTAGGATTTCAAGAAATCGAATCGAGGATGCCTCTTAAACTACATCCTTCCAGTTTCAATGATTTTTGCCTATAGATCCCACACAGTGTTGTAATTAAAATCCTAAAAAGATTCGGGTTCTTATTTATATTTGATTAAAATATCGAATTTTTAATATGTCTATTTTCTAGAGATTTAAGGTTTTCAGAAAACTTGTATTTTCGAATTATGATTTGAAACTTGGCGCTTATAGAGAACTCAACTAGGCTAGCTTTTTGTGAAAGTTTCATATCTTGAAAAGAATTTGTTCAAAACTTCTGAATTTTTTTATAGAAGCTAGTCTGATTGAGTTCTCAATATGCACAAGATTTCAGATAAAGAATTTAAAAAAATACGAGTTTTACGGAAATCTGAGGTGTACAGGGGCTTCTAGAAAATAGACGTAGTAAAAATTCGATAGCTTAGTCAAATATTAATAGGAACTCAAATCCTTTTAGAGTTTCTATTAGACCACGATGTTGTATCTATAGGTAAAAAAAAATTATTGAAAACGGAAGGGGGTAGCTGAGGAGATTCCCGCGTTAGTTAATGAATTGTGATCGAATAGGAATAAAAATACAACGGAAGTAGACAACTGTGATGTCAAAGATTTTATTTGACTATCGAACACAAATTCATATGGAGAAAAAATAATGACGCACACCCAAACACACAAGAACAGAACAATATATATCTGCCGCTTCCAACGCCTTCTCTCATACATATGTCGCGATCCAACACACACTCTCCCACTCAAGATAACGAAAAATGTGAGAGGAGGGAAAGGAATGGGAGAGGAGGAAAAAGACATGTGAGAGGAGTGTGAAAGAAACAAACAAGCATAAGAGAGAAAAGGATATATCATGTCCAATGGACATGACAACAATAACTCTTTCTTAAACAAATTTGAATATCGGAAATCTAGAGGAAGAAGAGAAATCGATCAAACCGGAGCAAATCCAGATTGAAAGGGGAAGAAGTAAAAAAAACGACTTTTGACCAAATGTGTTTTATGGGTGCCTCTTAGTTTTTCAACTAATGATGAATGAAATCATTTCAAGTTGAAATTACTAAATGAATGATAATAATTTTAGTTTGATAAGATAGTCATTTTAAATAATATGTTATCTTATTTTTCTTTTCTTCATAAAAAAGAAAAAGCTATCTTATCTATCATTTGTCATCAAATATATTGGTTCTTATTGTTTAAATCAAATTTAAATATAAAGTATCAATGTTATTAAGAATTTTTTCAACATTTCAAATTGTTAAATCAACATTTCGTAGAACTCATACATTAATTAATTATAAAACTTATCCTTTACATGATCGTGAATCAAATGCATATGATCAATTAATATTAAATAGTCGTCAAGAATTTCTTTCAACTGGTTGTTTATATCTTCCTCATTTTTTAACAAATGAAACTCTTTCAACTATTCTTAATGAAATTAATTCTATATTAATAAATTCTCCTCAAACATTATATAATTCATATGTCGAACATACAGACAATCTTTATAATACATCAAATTCTGAAAAAAATTTAAATGAAATTGAATCGAGTGGTAAAACAATAATTGCTTTTGATCAAATTCCAAATGAATCTCTTCTTCGTAAAATTTATTCATGGAATTCATTAATTGATTTTATAACAGATATAATTCAAATATATCCACATCTTTATCCAAGTTGTGATGAATTAGGTGCTTTATATATAAATATTTATAATCAATCAAATAAACTTAGTTGGCATACAGATCATTCACATTTTTTTGTTAATCTTCTTCTACAACAAGCATCTATACCTAATGAAGGTATGTTTGAATATAAAACAAAAAATAATCAGGAAATAATTAGTCGAAAAGATTTTCAAGCTGGTGGTCTTGTACTTTTTAATGGTCGAATTTATCCACATCGTGTAACTGAAGTTCGTTTATCAAAATTACCACGTATTAATGCAATTCTTACTTATGATTGTAATCCTGATCATCGTTTAACTAATTATGTTTTACAAAAATTTTTTGGACGTACAGTGCAAAAACACTAAATTATAATAAACATACATATTTATACTTTTCATTCGTTTGAAAAGATGAAAAGAATAATAAAATAAAATACAATGTTTAATTAATAAAAATAGAAAGAAGAAAAAAAGAAAATTTGTTCACCAAAAAAACAAAAAATTTAATAACAAAATCAATGATTAAAGTTAATTTTGAATATATCCATCGATGTTTGATGTTAAATGATGTTCTTCTAATTCGATTGGAGGTTTTTTCTATTTAATAATTAAAATAATAAAAAATTCTTTTTTTCTTCATAAATCTTACCGGTAAAATTATATCATGTCCATCTACATCTAAATTTGTTCGATTTTCACCAGTTTCTGCTCGATTTCGATATTGATCTTGTTTTCCTAAATATCGTTTCCAACGATACCAAAATTGTGTTGTTTGAAAACGTCGAGATAATATTTCACGAACCTTAAAAAATTCATTTAATTATTTTAATAAAAAAAAAATAAAACTAAATTAAACTTTACTTCAGCATTAAGAAAACAATACAGTAATGAACAATAAAATCCTTGAAGTGTCATTAAGATAACATTCACTGTACTATAGATAGCAAATATGGGTAGTGGTTTGTCATCTTTCAAAACAGAATTCAATTTTATTCAGTAGTTATTTTTGTTCAATAATTACCTGCTGAAGTAAATGTTTCAAGTACATATGTAATACCTAATAAAGGTAATAGAAAAATAGCTGATTTAACGGCTTTCCTAAAAAAAAAATCGAAATTCATAATAAATAAAATAAATTAGTAAAACATTTACCGAACGGATTTTGCATTCGTTGAACCACGACGTCTACTAAAACAAATTTTAACAAACAAAAAAAAAAGATTTCAATTTCAACTATCATCAATAATGAAACAATAGAAGTAAATATTATTTAATCGTTTTTTTTTAAGTTAATTTACCCATCTTGAAAAATTTAACACCTGATATATATATATATGTAACGTGATTTTCTGTCAAATTAATATTTGCAAAATAGATTCGAGTATTTTAACTTACTCTTCACGTATTTGCTTTTCTGAACCTTGTCTGATTTTAACCATTAAAACTCGAGTAATATTCAATAAAAAAATTATATTTATCTTTAAAAAAGAAAAATTGTTTTTAGAAATAAATTATAAAATAAAACTTACAATCATTACTGCATATCGAGGTCCATCAATAACCCAATAATATTTTAAATGATTATAATTAATAAAACATCTACATAAATTATTTATACATTTTTTTTTGTTTTTTTTTTCTCTAATCTAAACTAACCTGCGATGACGTTCTTTAACAATCATAATTATACTCCAACTTAATGTTAAACAAAATGGTACAACTATTAAATAATATTAACAAAATTTGAAAATTATTAATAAAAATTCTTATTTTTACCCCATCCAATAATTTGAAAATAATATGTTTTAAGATGAGTTTTAAAAACACTAACTGTTAAAATACTATTCAGATGAATTCCTTCACAAAGCATCCACATAAACATAGCTGTTATACCAAATTGTAAAAATGAAATACATAATGGACAAATTTTATCAAATAAAGTTGTTGTTGGATATGGATGAACACTTCCATAAACATCACATTCATTTTTTGGTGAATTTTTTAATTGAGCCATTTGAAGTCTAAATTAAAATTTAATTATTTAAAGAACAAAAAGAATTTCTTCATATTAATACATACCCATATGTTGCTACTCGAGCAATTATTTGAATAAGAATTGCTAATAGAAGATTTATATGAATTTTTGTTCGACTATTGTATAATATTCTATTTAAATTAAAATTCAATTTATTGACTTTTTTCTCTCTTTTCAACTCACTTAAAAGAAAAAAATATAAAAAGTGAAATAAGAATACTAGCAAATGATATAGATAATCCAGCTAATTCAATATAACGAAGAACTCGAACAATTCTTTCAAAAACCTTTTCAAAAAAAAAATAATCAAATAAATGAAGATCAATAAAATCTTGTTTTTTTTTACAAACTTCTCTTTCTTCTGGTGGCCTTCGAATATATGATTTATCCAGTAAAGCCAAAATATCGGGATAAAAACACGATGTAACATTAAAATTAGACCATTTACCCGATGGTCGACAATATCGACTAAAAAATTCTAAAAAAATGAAACATTTTTTAAAAATCAATATTTCAAAAATTATAAATACTAACTCGATGAATCAACACCTGCATGACGCAATACACCACATGAAATATTCACTGAAAAATCAGCATCAGTTTGTGGCCAACAAAGATATTCAAATATAGCCGGACAATATGAGCCATTAAATAATAACATTTCCTTCAGTGATTCGGACATTAGTTAATAATATTAGCATATATAATTAAGATATGGACGGTCTATTATCTGAATTAGAAAAGAAAAATCATCATATTTTAACATCGATGGAATTATTTATCATGTATTATTATTAATCGTATCAGTATTTATTTATCGCGTGCATCTAAAATAGTAATCGAAACTTCTTTTAATTGTCTATGTAAATAAAACTTATCGTCACAAATCTATAAACTTGAGTTATCTAATAAAATTTTTGAATTAATTAAATATTCAGAATATTTTATATAACGTCATTTTCAGATCAACGAGCTGAAAAAAAAACCCAAGGGTGACACTATAAGACTAGAAATAAATACTGATAAAAATCATGATACATGACATTTTTTTGCATGGTAAATATTAGATAAAATTTTGTCTATTAATTTTTCGAATCACCTAATGATGTCAATTTGTTTTCTACTTCCCTATCTGATATGGATTAAACATGTAGAGTTAATTTGGCAACAACAAACAGACAATGCACAAGTAATATGTCAATCTCACAATAGACATGTTTTCTGCATCACATAGATAAACATCTAAATAACAGATTTGATTATCATATCAAATGTTTCTCCGCACTTATGCCAGTCTAATAAATAGAACTATATTTCTCTCTTTTTTTTGTTTTTTTTTTTTCTTCAATTTATTTCGACACTATTCATATGAAAAACATCTAATTAAACATATATATAATCTAGTGAGAATCATATTGAAATTTCTATACTAAAATTCCTTGTCTAAGATTTACACAAAAAAATTTCTTTTTTAATTTCAATTAAAATTTTTTCTCCTACTTGCAAAATTTCAAATAATAAATTGACTTACTTGATTAACATTCAATGACATTTACTTACTACTGATAGAAATCTATCGGTTGTTTTTTTTTTTTGTCATATATGAAATTTATACAAATACTAATCTATGGTAAATTTGCAATATTTGCGTGAGTAGTAAAGAAAAATAAAACGTGATATGACTACTCGAGTAGTTAATGACTAATTTAGCAATATTCACATGCTCATACATCATTCATTGGATGATTATCAATCCCTATCAATCAATGTATAATGGGGAAAACTACTCGTAATAAAAAACAAGGAGACTAAGACAAGTTATTTATTTATTTGTTTTTTAAGCGGCCCAATAAGAGATCATAATCAAACACATGGCCTTTTACATATTATATTTACGATGTCAGCTATTTTATTTTTATGTGCTTAAGAATTAGTTTGATATATCAAAGTAATTTGTATGACTAATGAAAATACGAAATAAATTGCAAATTTATTCTAATATATGATGCTAGATTATTTTAACAAGAAAATTCTCATCGATCAATATATCGAGGATGAGAAAAAATTGACAAAAACTGTTCAAATAATATTTATTATTCATATGATATTTTAAAAAATCTGTGTTAGTTTCACTTGATTTCCTATTCTAATAGGCATATATATATATATATATATATACATACGTGTTTAATAACTATCTTCGTTCTAAGTATTACCTGTCAATCTCTTAAGTTTGGTATATTCTCTTTTCTGCATCCACCCACATCATATTTATTATTATTAAAAGATTTATTTTTATTGTTTTCATTTTCTTTTTGTTTTATGTCTAAATAAAATATTCCATATCTAATATTATATTTACAAAAATTCTCGGTTGAAATTCAATCCTTACTCGTTAAAACACATTTTATTCCATTGGTTTTTTATAATTATATTTGTTTATGCCAGTAGTCAACATAAAATGCGCAGTTTAATTTAATCAATACTATCCTACAAAAACCAGCAAGAAAAAAGAAAAAAGAGAAACGGAAGGAAAAATAGATTAGCTCCGGCAAACTTATTCGACGGTGATCATGAACTACGCACACCTATATAAAAATGCTCTTTTAATAATACACTAAACCGAACAGAATAAAAATGAAGAAATCGTATACTGAATAACTTGACTTCTGTCAAGTATTTTTTTTACTGCCAAAAATAAAATATTGAAATACAGTCCTATAAACGATAGTTTTCTTTTTGCGTCTTTCTTTCTCACTCTTCTATTCATCGTCTTCAATCGAAACCTAAAGAAAAAAACACAACCAATATTAAATGTTTTTTCAAGCATACATACCATTCAAGTTGAGTATTACCTTATGCATTAGATGTATGGCTTCTGATAAGTATGAAAATAAACAGGAGACTATGAAAGAAAACCAAACCTTGTGAGACAAAAATATTTCTCTCGTATAATGAGAAAAAAAGAACTTAGATCTATTCATTTCTTCATTTCCTTCTTTCACAAATCTACCGACCATAACAAATAAGATATTGAATAACCTCAAAGGCATCCGTCTAATTTACTCATTTTCGCATAAAGCAACTATTTTAGATAGACCTATCAAGAACATGTCATTTGTTTCATATTCTCTTCTAATTGAATCATCGTCAATATTGTTTTCATAAGAGATTTTTCGAATTAGTTTTACTTAAAATAAAATAAATAATACTGAATATGATTCAATAATTAAGTGATATTTTCTAATGGTAATTAAGCTTTTTTTTTTTTTTGTTTTTGTTTATCTATAACATAATAAAGATCACATTGAATTCGAATAAAAGAAGTATT